CTGGGGGCGGGGCCAGGGCCCCGTGGAGTGTCCTCCTTTTGGAGGCACAAAATATGGTAACCCTACTGTCAGTTTCTGAATGTACTGACAAAAACAGTTTGCATCACTGTAATATTTACTCAGAACATGTTAGTCTACAGGACCTTAGTTTAAAATTTGCTTTAAAAATATTTCATTAGAAGATTGCTGAAGATTATAAAATCACATCTCTAAAAAATCCATGCATAGATTTTTAGATGCATAATCTGAGTATTCATCTTTAGCCTTAAATGCTTGCATCTTCAGACATAGAGTTTTTTAATAAATCCTTCAAAAGACCACCCTTATCTAAAATACACATTTTAATTTTAATTACTATAGTCCAAAAAACTTGCTTCCAAAGTCTTCCTGTCCTTTCTGTCCAACCCTTTCTCCCTTCACCCCGCTGTTGAAGAGAGCCCTTAAAGGGAAAACACCCCTTTCCTTCCAAAAAAAGAACAGGAGTACAGACTAACACGGCTGCTACTCTGAAACCTTTCCTTCCAGATAGCTGGACAAATAGGTTTCCCTTTCCTTACTTCTGACTATTTGATGAACTAGTTTTAAAAGAACCCTCCAGCAAAATCAGTACCTTAGTAAGATATAAAATCCTTTGTTATGCCTAAAATCTTTGGAAACATATTTTTTATAGTTGGTGAAATTTCATAAATGTGTCTATTGTTATGGAGATTACACAATGTAAGTTAGTGTTCCCTTTTTCTAAAAGCAATGAACGTTGTTATGAAGACACTAAACCTCTGTGACTGATTAACTGAAAATAATGTCTTTGTTTCAGTGAGTTAAATATGTAGTTATCTGGAATGATTAATTTATGAAGGCTTAAGAGTACATTTAAAATATAAAAGCAGCTTAGAATTACTGGTTAAGAAAATGTAAAACAGAGAAGAGCTGCATCATGTATTCCATAATATGTAATGTTGTATTCAGCAGGACAGCTGACTCGCCCTTACTACAAAGTTTTTGCAACTAAATCTCTGACAAACTTTAGGGCATATCAAAAAACCTGTGACTGACATTTTTTATTCCCAAGTTTAGTGCTTTTAATTAGGTCCCTTCCGCATGTCCAGTCTCCACCAGCTGGCATGCAGTGGAAAACATGCTCCTTTTTCTTTTGAAAAAAACCCTCTTCTGCAATTTCTTTAATGTCATTTACTTCATTTGGGTTCAGGGATTTGGCTGGAAGGGGGTGAGCAGGGTGGGGGAGAGAAGAGAGGAGGGCGACAGTGGGAGAGGGCGGGGCCTGAGCAGAGTGGGGCGGAGCCTGGGCAGGGCAGGAGTGGCGTATGGGTGGGGCCACAGGCAGAAGAGCTCCACCCACCGCCCATGACCGCAGGTAAGGGCGGGTCGGCTCCCGCACACCCAGCGCGCACTGCAGTCTCCTTAGGCGGGGCCGTATTCACAGAGCCGAATGCGCCAGGGCCGGGCATGCTGCGTGAGGGAGAGGGTACGGGGGTCTCTGTGGGGAACTGGGATTCTCCCCCCCGCGAGGCGGCCATGGAGCACAGGGGCACCAGCTTAAACAGCCTGTGTAGGGCCCCACAAAGCCCCTACGGCCGGCTCTGGTTCGGGGGCGTGGGGCTGTGGGCAGGGACCTCGCTGCTCTCCTCAGGACAAGGGAGGTTCAGGCCTGGGTTGCCCTGTCTAGTCCTCAGAGCCGCCCCGCCCCCTGCCCTTACGTCATGGCCTAGCCCCGCCTTGGCTCCCAGGCAACGCCCCCTCCTCAGGCCCCGCCCATCTCCGCGGCGCAGCGGGCCGTGACGTCATCGCGCCAGGCCGTGCTAAGGCGCTCTGCGTGGCGTGTTTGCGTCCCCACGTGCTGCGACCCCGGAAGTGGGAGCGGTTGGGCCTTGGGGCTGCCCGGCCCGCGCTCGGGCGGCATGAGGGGAAGGCTGCTGCGGGCTTGGCGGGAGGGAGCCGCCGCCGCCGCCGCTCGCGGTCTGGCCGAGCGCGGGGCCCCCTCGGGGAAGCCCCCGTGGCGGGTCCTGTTCTTCGGGACCGACGACTTCGCCGCCGAGTCCCTGAGGGCGCTGGAGGCCGCCAGGTGCGGGGGGCGCGAGGCCCATGGAAGGGGTGGGTGTTGGGCGACCGCGAAGGTGGGAGGAAGGGAGGTGGGGACCGGGGAGGGGGAAGAAGAGGAGGAGGAGGAGGGAGGAGGGAGGGGCGGCTGGCATGGGAGGGACCGAGGAGACAGGACCATGGGGAGGGGGGTGAGCGGGGATCATGGAAGGGTTGGGCACTGGGGGGGGGCATGGTGTTGGTGGGGGGGGGTTGAAGCGGAGGGGAGACTGGGAGGTGGGGACGAGGGGAGGGGACGATGGGGTGGCGGGGGGCATGAGGTGGGGAAGCGTTGGGGTGCCTGGGGGAGCAGCTGTTTCTCCACCTGTTGTGCCTAGAGAGGCTTTGCCTTCCCTTCCTGGCTGTGCTGGTCACTCATTGGCATGTGCCACCTTGTCATTCTGCTACAGGGAGCCCAGGGAGGAGCCGCTCATAGACAGGCTGGAGGTGGTGACCCTGCCATCCGCTTGGCCGAGGGGTCTTCCTGTGAAAAACTGCGCCAAACAGTTTCAACTCCCAACCCACGACTGGCCGGATACAGGACCCAGTGGCCAGTTTGATGTCGGGGTGGTGGCGTCGTTTGGGCGCCTTCTGAGTGAGGACCTCATTCTTCAGTTTCCATAGTAAGTCAGATATGATGGAGTAGCAGCCTGTTTTCGGGTATGGTATATGTTTCTTGTCGTCTAGCCTGTTTTGGCCGTGAAGCTAGTTTTAAGTTGTCTGTGTATGACTGAGGGCTGGTCTACGCTGGGGGGGGGGAATCGATCCAAGATACGCAACTTCAGCTATGCGAATAGCGTAGCTGAAGTCGAAGTATCTTGGATCAAATTACTTGGGGTCCACACGGCGCAGGATCGACGGCCGCGGCTCCCCCATCGACTGTGCTACCGCCGCTCGCTCTGGTGGAGTTCCGGAGTCGACGTTGAGCGCCTTTGGGGATCGATATATCGTGTCTTAACGAGACGCGATATATCAATCACGGATAAATCGATTGCTACCCGCCGATACGGCAGGTAGTGAAGACGTACCCTGACTTTGGTTATAGAAGCATGTGAAAAGACCATCTGAGCTTTGGGTCTTTTGTATTGTGACAAATCCCTTTAAAGGGACATCATCAACTCGAAAACCAGTCATTTTTTAAAAGAAGTTGAGTCGTTGCCAATACTAAGCTTGTTGCTGAGTTCTGCAGCAGATTTTTATGGCTTTGAAAATCACATTTCCTTGCTCTGTTAAAATATTTTTCTTTCTCCATTTGCTGTGTGAAAGATCCACACAACTTTCTGTGCAAACTGTGAAGCTGATATGCAGAAAGTCTACCAAATATGCAAAGTTAATAAACTGAACAAAATAGAGAGATTTATTTTCTTGAATCTGTTCCAGTGCTGCTTGTAACAATAGTCGATTCAAAAACAAAAATGTTGACATACAGAAATGACTTAAAAAAAGTTAATGAGGTCCTTCTAAGTATGTGGTGTGTTCCCCTTACTTTTTCTGTTCCCTTTCCCCTGTTCGCTTGTGGCCAGACATTGAAGCTATATAGTGTAAATATGCCTCTAAATGCTTATTTATTCTTAGGATTGGCATTTTAAATATGACTTAGTGAAACTGATTGAATTTTCAATACATCTAAAGAGCTAAAACATGGTTTTTATAGAAAGCAAGTTCAGTATAATAAATGGTTAATACCCATTTATATGTGTTACAGAATTACTGGTCCTATTCTAATTTAAAAATATTCTGATTCAGTGGCGTGTTGAATGTCCATCCCAGCTATCTCCCAAGGTGGCGTGGCCCAGCACCGATAGTCCACGCAGTGCTTCATGGTGATACAGTAACTGGGGTGACAATTATGCAAATTAAGCCTAAAAGGTACAGCAAACATCATTTAAAAAAAAAAAGATTCAATCACTGCAATGTCTGCCTTTCACAAATATTAAGCTAATACTGTGTTGAATATTCATTCTTTGAAAGTTAAATAGTATTGACGTTAAACTTCATTTAATTAAAATGGATATATGCACCCATACAGATGATTTAATATTAAATACTTTAAAACAGTTCAGAAGTTTTACCTGAACTGCTGTGACTTGTCATGTATACGGCTTGTGAGTGGACAAATTGATTTTCCACCAGACCACCATATCACAGCTGTCTGTTAAGCATTTTGTGCTGTACAAGTCAAAAATAGCACTAGATCTGCAGAACTACTGATCTCAAATCAACTGTGCAGTGAAACTGGTAAATTACTTCTCTCCTCTGATGGTCTGCTTCCCTAGATGCTATATGGTGCACTCACAGGTTCTACAAACTTGTTCATTTCTGAAGCTGAACATAAAATGAAGTGGCATAGTGTACCGAGTACATTAAAAGGTACATGCTATGTCCCTTTACTGTGGACCTGTCTGTTTTTAGCTATACTAGAGGAATATTCTTCCTATCATGCTTCTGTTGGATAACAGATCTCAATAATGTATGAAATTTACCTTGAATATTTCAGGCCATTTTTCTTTTGAAATAAAGCACTTGGAATTGTAAGTCAAATATTCAGACCAGTTTCAGCTTGCCTCTGTAATACAATCCTATTTTCTTTTCCATAATGTTGACTTGTGAACCCAGTGTTAAAATTGTCGTCATTTCTTTGTTTCTGCTTGCAAATGAGTATAGCTAGCAACTGAGTTAATATACTAGCCTTGTGCTAAATTGTACACTAGATCTAGTGTGAATGAAGTGATAGTCTACTAGAGGAAGAAGCTAATGCATATGTTTTTTGTGTTTAGGTTTGATGTAGGTCCAATTATTAAGCAGGAGAAGTATGCTGTTCCTTCCCAGTGCACAGCAAAGGAACTAGAAGTGATATTATCAAAGTTGGGTGCGAACATGGTAAATCTATGCAAGTAACTGCCCACTTTATTCATTGCATTATCCTCAAAGTTTCCATTCTGAGAAGCCTTCCTTGTTATGAGCTATTTGTAAATAAATTAGAAAACAAAGGAGTACATTTCCTCAATACACAAACCTAACTGCTTTTAATGTTACCGTGATTTAACTGCCAGCTTTGACAGGAAAATAGATTCAGGTGGTCTGAAATTTGGCAGTTCTGAGCATCCTGAGTTGCTGAAATGATGCATTGGCAGTATTGGTGTCCCAATCTATTAACTGCTTCCAGTGGGCATTAGTTCTAGTTTAACTGTCCAAAGCACAGACACTGACTTTTTTTATTTTTCCGGGTGGGTGCTCCACACTTATTCCACCCAGGGGCCCTGCTCCCACTCCACCCCTCCCCCAAGGCCCCGTCCTCACTGCACCACCCCCAACAGCTGTTTGGGGGTGGCTGGTGGGTGCTGAGCATCCACTTCTTTTTTTTCTTTTTCTGTGGGTGCTCCAGCCCCGGAGCACCCATTGAATCAGCACCTATGTCCAAAGAACAACTTCTTAAATACGCTGTATGAATACTGAGGCTGCATTGCTTCCAGTCAGTGGCAGCCTTTTCACGTGATTTTACACCTTTTGACACTAGCAGGCTACCTGCCAGCATGAGGCTGAGGAATTTTCAGTTTTAATTGGAAAAAATTAGTTTCTAGCACAGTTCGGTGTGTTCTTAGTTCAGTGAAATGAATTTCTTTTGAGCTTTTAGAAAGCTGGACTGATCAAAATGTGTGTGGCTTTAAAAGTCTTGGAGGAATGCTACTGGCAATATATTTAATATAATGCTCATGTACTATTTAAATTTGTTCTGTACAAAGACTTTTTTTTGTTTTGCAGCTCATTTCAGTTTTGAAAAACTTACCTGAAAGTTTAAAAAACAAAAGAGAGCAACCAAATGAAGGAGTAACATTTGGTAGGTACTAAGTATTTAATGCCAATTGTATGTTTTTCATTTTTTTTCAATATTACCTGGGCATATAATTCAGTTCCCGTGATCCTACGTTGTGTGTTTTTTGGGCACTCCTGTGTGTGTTGGTTCTTATTTAGGGCTGTGTCGGTATCTCTTGAAATCAACGGAAAACTTCCAATGACTTCTGTGGTAAAGGATTAACATCATGGGGGTAGAACGTTGCAGAATCTTTCCTTCGATTCCAGCAGTAGCAATTTTCTGACAGCCCCTGCAACCGCTAAAGGAAAGACTACATCTCAAGATTCTAATCAGTTTCATGCTGTTCCTGTCTGCGTTACCAGAAAATTAACTGTTAGGTTTGAGCATAGGTGTTGTTAACTTGTGTGATCTTCTAGTGCTGGTGCTGCATCAAGAGGCTTTTAATGACTTTACAAATTACAGTTGTAAATAAACACACAGCAAAAATATAACATTTTTTTGCTTTCCTTTTTTCTAGCTCCTAAAGTCACTATTGCTATGAGTTGTATAAAATGGGAAGAACAAACTCCTGAGCAGATATTGCGACTACAACGTGCCATAGGAGCTATAGTAAGACAAAATAGTAGTAATTTTTTGGAAGCTTTCCTTTAAGGCAAATCTTACTCTAATTGGGTGTTGATGCTTTAGCCTTTTAAATGGTGGCTTGGTTCTTTTTAGAGAGGCAAAGCAGTCAAGTTGCATGAGGATAGGACATGGATCCAAGAACATCTCCTGAGTTCTAATTCTAGCTCTGTTGTCAACTCACTGTGACCTTGCCAAGTTATTCAACCTCTTTGCTTCAATTTCCCTGCCAGTAAAATGGGGATATCATCTGTGGTACTTCAGAGAGTGCATTCATTCAAAGGAATGATGCTATATTTGTGAAGTACTACATAAAGTTATGGTTAATTGTTTTCAAGGATGCAGATGTATCTTCAGATATCTACTGCAAACATGCCAGGTTTGTGAACACACATTTCTTGTTTGTGAAGTGTTAAAATTTCACATGTATAGGAGTTCTTGAGTTCTCCATCCAAGTGTATTTAGGTATTTATTATTCCCTGTTAGTGCTAGAGAATACCATATATTAGCCCGTTCGTTTATAAGCCGACCCCCAAGATGGTTAAGTAAAAATAGCAAAAATTGTATGATCCTTTCATAAGCCGACCCAATATTTCAGGGGTTGGAAAACTTTTGTTCCCGGCCCGTCAGGGTAAGCCGCTGGCGGGGTTGGGACGTTTTGTTAACCTGGAGCGTCTGCAGGAAGTGGCTCCCGTAGCTCCCATTGGCTGGGAACGGCAAACCGCGGCCACAGGGAGCTGAGGGTCTCCATGCCTGCAGACGCTCCAGGTAAACAAAACGACAATGTATTAAATATTCAATTCAATGATTCCATAGAGATTTTAAAATCAAATTTTGGTGTAGATCCTTATAAGCTCTTTGATGCGTCACCTTTTTACCAAAAATATTCGGCTTATGAACGAGTATATACTGTAACTTTTTAAATATGTAGCTTAATATGGTTGTAAAGAAGTTTGAGAGGGAAGGAATAGGAGAAGAACAAAAAAGATCAGGTGCTTATATACCTTATGACATGTGGACAGTCCACCCTACCAGGAATAGTCCCTAAACCTTTACCTTAGTGCTGTTTACTACACTTTTCACATGAAAAAACAAAGTAGTTGACTGAGAACATTTTTACAGGAGTCTCAGTTTGTCATCTCTCCTTATATATTTCCAGCTTCCATTGCAGACATTGTGGATGGGAAATACTGTTAAACTTCTGGATTTTGTGGAAGTGCATAACATCCGCAGCTTTGCTGGTATTTACTTTAATCTGTTAACATTCTCTGCTACAAGATTTTACAAACACTGACAGTGATTTGATTTAATTTAATTGGAAGTGAACATGAAGCAATGCTAGGCGACATTTACATGATGCAATATTTTAACTAGGAGTCTAGTGGAATTAAACAAGACTAAATATTCTCATTTAAATGCTTAGAAACTTATAAATTGCTCCCAATGTATTTTTATGAATGACTTGGATAATGCTGTGAAGAGTGTGCTTATAAGATTTGCAGAAGACACCAAGGAGAGTGGGGGGTTTGCAAGCACTTTGGATGACAGGATTAGAATGGAAAATGGTCTTGACAAATTGGAGAGTTGGTCTGAAATCAACAAGGTGAAATTCAGTAAAGACAAATGAAATGTACTACCTTTAGGAAGGAGAAATCAAATGCATAAATACCAAATGGGGAATAACTGTTAGCAGTACTATTGCCTAGCCAAAGGACTTGGGAGTTATAGTGGATCAGAACCTGAATACGAGTCAACAATATGATGCAGTTACAAAAAAAGGCTAATGTCATTCTGAGGTGTATTAACAGAACTGTCGTATTTGAGACACAGGAGTTAATTGTCCCACTCTACTCAGCACTGGTGAGGACTCAGCTGGAGTTCTGGTCCCAATTCTGGGTACCACACTTTAGGAAAGATGTAGATAAATTGGAGAGAGAGAGTCCAGAGGAAAGCAACAGAAATGATAAAATGTTTAGAAAACCTTTCCTCATAGGTCAGGTTAAATCTGGATATGCTTAGTCTTGTAAAAGAAAGCTGAGGGGAAGGACTGGATAACTGTCTCAAATACATTAAGGGCTGTTCTAAAGAGGATGATGATGAGTTGTTCTTCATCTCTACTGAAGGTAGGATAGGAAGTAATGGGCTTAACCTGCAGCAAGAGAGACTTAGGTTAGGTAGTAGGAAAACTTTCTAACTATAAGTATAATTGAGTTTTGGAATAGGGTTCCAAGGGAGGTATTAGAATCCCCATTGTTGGAGGTCTTTAAAAACAGGTTGGACAAACACCTGTTGGGGATGGTCTAGATTTACCTGGCCCTGCCTCCACATAGGTGGCTGGACTAGATGACCGCTTGAGGTCCCTTCTAGCCCTTCATTTCTATGAGTCTATTACTTCTGTGTCTGGTAAAATTAATAGTTATAGGCAAAGTCCTGTAGACTTATTGAGCCTGGGTCATCCACAAGGAAGGCCAGCCTCTCTTTTTGTGTTTCCCAAAATCCTCCTCCTTTAGGAGTCTCTCCAGGGAGATGGGTAACGTCCAGAAGAGGATTTAATGATACCTCTAGTATCTACTCTACTGCATTGACTGTTTTGTTTGGGGAGCCAAGACATTAGAAGGCAGTGTACTGCAGAGTGTGGCTTCACCAAGTCCCCTACAGGGCAGACATGCCTTTATTAGTACAAGGGAGCTTATGCATGCTTTTGGAAAAGTTGGGGACCATGCTAGAATTCTTCTCCTACTTATGGGACACTTTCACCCCTTACTCTGACTTGCTCCTCTCTGCTATATATCACAAAGAACAATGAGGGTTTTTTGTGCAAACCAATAATTTTACATAACTGCCTAGTTTCAGAGGCAGGCATAAAAATAAATTTCATATTTTTTACTCTTATTCAGTAACATGAAAATGCAAGAAGTTCCTATTTGTTTGCAGATCAGCTATTAAATGAACATGGAATTGTTCCAGGATCAGTATTATACCATAAATCGTCACAGACATTGGTGATACGTTGCAAGGTATGTTTTCTGCCTTTGTTTTCTGTTGAAGGTTCTGAAGATGACTTTTAGACTGCTACCTCTTTTTTTAATAATCTGCACCCTAATGTAAGAACATAATAATGGCCAGACTTCAACAAATTTACCTAGTAGGTAGAGTCCTTACTGTGTGCATCTTTTATTTTCCTTTCTAGGAAGGCTGGGTCGGAGTCAAAACTGTCATCTTAAAGAAGAAGCTTACAGCTGCTGACTTCTATAATGGGTACTTACATCCCTGGTTCCAGCAGAATTCAAAAACGCTTCATGAGGATTGCAGATTTCACACTCTCAAACTTACCACAGTGAAGAAGACTGAAAGAAAAGGAAATGGTGGTGCACAATTTAAAACAAAAAGTGCATGAAATCTGTCAAACAGGACCTCTGTAAATGAATAGAAACATTAAATATTTCATCGTCCATTACAATAAATGAAGCAGGTATTTATTTAAGGGTGTTTCAACTGAAAAATGCGATATTGGTATCATCAGCCAAGAAGATGTCGTCAGTACTCTTTTATGAAGCACTACGTTTTATTCCTTAGGAGAAGAGCACACGTTAGTGAATGCCTAACTGAGACAATGAATAACCCTGTTTCTATTGTTAAACAATAAATTATTTTTATACATAATTTTAAAAAGCTTGATTTTTTTTTTCTTGGTTTAGTCAGAGGGTAAATCAATATAATTGTGTTTTAATTATGCTTTTCTGACAAACGTAAAGTAGTTTGTCCTTAAATGGTAAAGGAAATTAATGAGAAACACTCTACCTGCAAGGTCCTGTTTGTGTGAAACCTATTTTGGTAAGTAATATCTGCCAAAATCCTATTGGATCCAAATATATTTGTACAAAGGCATATGGTAATTGTGTAGTATTTCAGGCCCAGTTTTGTAATTTTTCATTAGTGTAACATTTTCAAGTGAAGTCTACAATTGGGAATTGTCCGGGAGGATAATATTGGTAATTTTGCATGCTTTTATCATATAAAATAAATTAGAGAACACAAAGCAGAAATTTAGCCTCTAAATCAATATTCACTGTCATTAGAATTGTTCTCTTAGAGTACACACCATTTGGCTAGTGTTTGGTTGGATGACGGCCATCCAGAAAAGTTGTGTGTCTAATGGAGGAAAAGCTAGTAAAATTTTGGCACTGAACGTGTATATTGAATTAAGTAACTATTTGTATATGGTCATTCAAACACTTTGTATTTCGCTCAGTAGAATACAATGTGACAGTTTAATTGTAGGAAACAGTACTTTTTTCCAAAACATCAGAAGGGCAATGTAGACGGCTTTATCGTTTCATCTGGACACGGGGATATCTCTTGCTTAATGAAGACAGTCTGGAAGGCTTTTTTGTCATCCAGGCTTATCACGCAGATCTTTCAGAAACCCACTTTAGTACTTGACATTAGAGGAAAGAGCCAGAAGTTCAGAACTTCCTTTTGAAGAAAAACTTTTTTTCTACCAGATGATGAGTGTGAACTTCAATTTGTAAAGACCAAGGGTCAAGAAGTCCTCTTTTCGCAAAGAGGAGACAGGACTGGCCAATATTGACTATAGAACAGTAACCAGCAAACACCAGCCCTTGCATGCTTTGTGCTTTAGTCTTTCAGAGTTGCAGTGTGCTTACCTAATTTCTTGCCATTTTAAGCTTGACTTACTAAGTTGTGCTTCTTTTAAAGTATCTAAATGGATTTTTTTTCCATAAAATGATTTTATATTTACATTTAAGATTATTTAATTGAACTATGATTTGTATTAAGGTAATGCTTTTGTTATGCTTGTAAACTAACCTGTGCCACTAGACTTAAGTTGTCATTTACATAGATTTTGGACAATTATCTTCAGCAGTTTATAGTCATCCAACTCTGGAAATAACTAAAGTTTAGAAAAACATTTGGAGGAACCTCTGACTGGCATTTATAAATAGGACTTGAAAATTATACCAAACAGAACAGCCTACCAGCTCGAGGTGTAGATGAAAGACGGGAGATACCAGAGAGGTCTAGGGGCAACATCTTAGAAGCCTGCCATCCTCAGTTGTGGGGAATGGGTATAGTGCTGGGATTTTTAGCAACTTTCTATCCTTGAAGCTGCTTGGTAGTTTCCATGTATTTATCAACCTCTGGCTTGTAGGTGTACAATAGAACATGGAAGTTCCACCACCCTCTAGCTGCTGGAAGGGGAAAGATGCATTCTGTTCCTTTCCCCTCCGGAACCTTCTAGCTGCTATGTATTGTCCTCTTGCAGAACATATGGACAGCTGTGAAGGGGGCTGACCCTCCCAGTCTCCTGCCTGCGCAGGTGAGATGGAAGAAAAATATTTGGGGGGGGGGGAGGATATGATGGAATGGAGGGGGAGAGAGAGAGCTTCTCTGTGAATAACCCCAGTGCTCATGTCTGCTCCTACATGTAGCTTTCTCAAGCAGCATGAAATTGACTTGATTCTTGATTGCTTTACTATTGTCTATGAGGTCCTGAACAGCAGCAGTGAAACTGGAGTATTACTAATTTCACTTTGCTGCTGCTTGGGAGAAGCTGGGGAAGCAGCGCAGCTACTGGAGCAGTTTGCAAACTCCGGAAGAGACACTGCATCGGTTTCCATTCAGTTCATATTTGCAAAGTTATCAATGAAATCCTAAGGGCTGTACACTTTACCAAAAATTGCCTAAGTTCTATAGAAGTAGATGGCTCAAGTTCTCACAGTCACTAGGTAAAGTTTCTCATGTTGGTGGATATGCTCCAAGTTCTGGATATGCCCAGACTTCATGCTTTTAACTTCTCCCTCCTGGCCTATCTAGGGTTGCCTTGTTGGCCACCTTGATCTTTGAATGGCAGTGTGTGTACATCCTTTCAGATGTAAAGAAGGATGTGACTAAAGCTGGAAGAGACGCACAGACCATAAAGTCACTCTAAATGTGTGGATGCCGGTCACCTTGGTGTCTTAGAAATATCTGAGATGCATTGGGCAAGAGAGGAAAAAAAGCCATTAAAAATGCACCACATTCTATAACGTGGAGGAAAATGTTTTAATGGAATACGTGTCCCAATATTTTTTTATTATCCTCAATCTATCCATGAATCTGTAACAGGTTTCCCAAAGCATAGACTCTTCCCCAATGTTTATTGCATCTGACTCAATGTAAACCTGGAAGTAGTATCATGGTAAAAGACTGGATCGTGTTGAGAGAGTTCATGTTCGCAGGGCTGTAACTTATTACGCTCTTATGAGTTACAAATATTAAACTGAGCCCGTGTTTAGAAACTGAGACAGAGGCTCTAACTATTGTCTTCTGCCCATTTCTCACAGTTACTGGTCTGATATTTGACTTTTCTAATTTTTTCTAGCTCAACTTTTCCGACAAGGACAAGGAGATTAGCTTGTTAATGTCATTTACCTTTTTTGCATCTCTGAAAGCAAGATTGGTCTCAGACTAGGTTTTATGTACAATTTTAATTGTTGTATTTCTGGGGTTTTTGTTTTTTTCTTTCTCCCCATCATTTGCCACAAGCCTTCTTCCCAGCTGGAGCCGGTTGGAAATTTTCCATTAATGTTTTTTTCTGTGGAAAATGTATTTTCCACCAAATGAAAATTTTTCCTGGGAAAACTGATTTCTCTATTGGAGAAAATCAAAGGACTTTGATTTTGGGTCTCGACCCAAAATGAAACCATTTTGGCTTTTCAAATTAAATTGAAATGTTCTGGGGTCAGTTTGGCATTAATGTATGTCCCCTTCAAGCGTGGGGCCTACTGGAAGCCCCATAATCCTATGGGCCAGAGTATTCTCCCATCATGCATCACAACCTCCCCTTTGGCTGAACTGACATGGGAGATGTAGTCTGGCTGGGGAGCTGGCCTATAGGGAAGAATGGGGCTGGGTAGCATCGGAACTACACCTCCTCTAAAATACTGCAGTAGTTTAGGAGAATGGAGTTCATTGTCAAACTGAGACAAAATTAGTTGGCTTGACAAAAAAACTCAGACCTTAACAAACATAGATAGTAGGTAGAGTCCTATGGGCATAAAATATAAAGGAGTGTAGGAGAGCTGGCAGTTTCTTAGTGAGACAGTATTAAAAGCACAACTGCTGATACAGGCCTGTTTCCTCTTACGCGGGGGTTCCGTTCTGCGGTTAGCGCGTAAAGCGAAAACCGCATATAGCCAAAACCCCATTGAGTTCAATGGCGGGCGTAATCGCCCGCACTATAGTATTAAAACTGTTGTTTTTTCTTTCTTTCTTTTTTTTTTTGGTGTGGTTTTTGCCGACTGCGTAAAGTTGAAATCGCACATGTTAAATGTGCGTAAGATCCGACAGACCTGTTCTTTCTTTCATAACAGTCAGAAGCCAATATGACTCCACTAAAGAGCTTCTGGTGACCTGACAATCAAAAAGGAATCCTACAAAAGGCGGAAACAGGATAGGTTGCTAAGGAGGAGTACAAAAGAATGGCACAAGTGTATAGGGACAAAATGAGTTACATCTAGCAAGGTACATTAAAGAATCTTATTGTCTTTTACTACATTAGGAGCAAGAGAAAGATGAAATAAAGTGTATGCCCTCTACATAGAGGGGAAGGGCAGCTAATAATTAATGATATCAAGAAGGCTGAGGTGTTTTAACACTTTATTTTGCTTCAGTCTTCACTAAAAAGGTTAAGGGTGGCCCCTACTCAATACAATATTAACAACAAGGGGGTAGGAACACAAACTGCAATAGGGAAAGAACAGGTTAAAGAATATTTAGATAAGTTAGATGTATTCAAGTCAGGAGTGCTTGATAAAATTCTTCTAGGGCACTTAAGGAACTAGCTGAAGGAATCTCAAACGCTTAGCAATTATCTTCAAGAACTCATGGAGGATGGGTGAGGTCCCAGAGGCCTGGAGAAGGGCAAACATAGTATCTATCTTTAAAAATGGAGAACAAAGAGGACTTGGGGATTTATAGACCAGTCAGCCTAACTTCAAAACCTGGGAAGATACTGGAGCAAATTATTAAACAATCAGTTTGTAGGCATTTAGAGGATAATAGAGTTATAAGGAATAGCCAACATGGATTTGTCAAGGATGCATCGTGCCAACCCAACCTAATTTCCTCCTTTGACAATGTTACTGGCCAAGTGGGGAAGTTATAAAGGTGATGTATCTTGATTTTAGTAAGGCTTTTGACAAAACCCTACGTGACGTTCTCATAAGCAAATTAGGGGAATGTGGTCTAGATGAAATTCCTGTAAAGTGGGTGCACAATTGGTTAAAAGACCACTAAAGAGTACGTAAAGAGTAGTTATCAAGGGTTTGTTGTCAAACTTAGGGTGGAGGGTGGCAATCTAGTGGGGCCCTGCAGGGGTCAGTCCTCGGGCTTGTACTTACTCCATATTTTCATTAATGACTTGGAAAATGGAGGGGAGAGTATACTTACAAAATTTGTAGAGGCCACCAAGCAAGTCATGGTTACAAGCACTTTGGAGGACAGGATTAGAATTCAGAACAACCTTGAGAACTTGGAGAATTGTTCTGAAATCAACAAGATGAAATTCAATAAGCAGAAGTGCAACGTACTACACTTAGGAAGGAAAAAGTCAAATGCACCTCTACAAGATGGAGAATAACTGGCTAGGCAGTAGTACT